GTCCATATTGACATGATGGCATCACACAGTTGCCGCAGATTTGTCGGCTGCACATCCATGATGCGAATCTCCCGTTCCACCACATCCCAAAGATGCTCTATTGGGTTGAGATCTGGTGACTGTGGAGGCCATTTTAGTACAGTGAACTCATTGTCATGTTCAAGAAACCAATTTGAAATGATTAGAGCTTTGTGACATGGTGGAAGTAGCCATCAGAGGATGGGTACATGGTGGCCATAAAGGGATGGACATGGTCAGAAACAATGCTCAGGTAGGCCGTGGCATTTAAACGATGCCCAATTGGCACTAAGGGGCCTAAAGTGTGCCAGGAAAACATCCCCCACACCATTACACCACCACCACCAGCCTGCACAGTGGTAACAAGGCATGATGGTTCCATGTTCTCATTCTGTTTACGCCAAATTCTGACTCTAACATCTGAATGTCTCAACAGAAATCGAGACTCATCAGACCAGGCAACATTTTTCCAGTCTTCAACTGTTCAATTTTGGTGAGCTCTTGCAAATTGTAGCCTCTTTTTCCTATTTGTAGTGGAGATGAGTGGTACCCGGTGGAGTCTTCTGCTGTTGTAGCCCATCCGCCTCAAGGTTGTGCGTGTTGTGGCTTCACAAATGCTTTGCTGCATACCTCGGTTGTAACGAGTGGTTATTTCAGTCACTGTTGCCCTTCTATCAGCTCGAACCAGTCTGGCCATTCTCCTCTGACCTCTGGCATCAACAAGGCATTTCCGCCCACAGAACTGCCGCTCACTGGATGTTTTTTCTTTTTCGGACCATTCTCTGTAAACCCTAGAGATGGTTGTGCGTGAAAATCCCAGTAGATTAGCAGTTTCTGAAATACTCAGACCAGCCCTTCTGGCACCAACAATCATGCCACGTTCAAAGTCACTCAAATCACCTTTCTTCCCCATACTGATGCTCGGTTTGAACTGCAGGAGATTTTCTTGACCATGTCTACATGCCTAAATGCACTGAGTTGCCGCCATGTGATTGGCTGCTTAGAAATTAAGTGTTAACGAGCAGTTGGACAGGTGTACCTAATAAAGTGGCCGGTGAGTGTATATATATAAGTTTAAGTAAGTTAAGTAGTTATAATCCATTTATTTATTCATTCTTTATATTTGTACTTTATTTATTTATTCTCTTTTTGAGCATAGACCTGAAATTGACATTTCCAACTTAAACTGTCATAGATATTAAATGCTTAAAAGCACAGACTGCAGTTGGCTCTCTTTTTAAAGAAGACACTTGTTAGATTATTGCTGAAGTGAAGAAAAGTGAACTTTAAAAAATAAAGTCATAGAAGTGTGTTTATTGTTATGAAAAAATGCACAGAAATACTATTTAATTTTTTTATATGAAATATATATTTCCCAAAGCGTTTTACTCTAAAACTGCAAGGTTTTACACTCATGGTTTCCCAATGATTGCTAAATGTAATTTTCATATTCATATGTTCAAACATGATTTCATTATATGTCTCATTGAGTAATTTGTTCTTTATGTTTTGAATTTATTGTTGTAAGTAGAAGTACCCAAAATACCTTAGCTTTGGTTCTCAAACTGACTAGAATTGCAATAGTTGCAACTCTAATCACAATAACTCAGCAATAATTGTGCAGTTTAAATTTCAATCACATTTTGCACATTTGGTTAATGACCGCATTGGGCAACGAATAATCGTGATTAATCGCATCCAAAATAAAAGTTTGTGTTTACATAATATATGTGTGTGTACTGTGTATAATTATTTTGTATATAAATACACACACATGCTTGTATACATTTAAGAAATATTTGCATTTATATACTGTAAATGTATTTATACATAATTTATATGATATATAAATATTAAATAAATAACACATTTTTCTTAAATACATGCATGCATATGTGTGTATATATATATATATATACAAAATAATTATGACAGTACACACACATATATTATGTAAACACAAACTTTTATTTTGGATTCGATTAATCGTGATTATTCGTTGCCAATGCACTTGTTATATTATTTTTTTTTTTTTACAGCATTTGGGCCAATTTTATTATAATGTTTGTTATAATATTGTATGTATCCGAATAAAAACACAACATATTAGACTCATGCTGGGTTCAGACTATACAATACTTTTGTCTGTTATAATAGTCATTGTCAGATTATGAGATTTTGACTCCTAAATTCTTGTGTCGTGGAGAAGAAACATGTCAGACTACACGTTGCTTCCTGACCAATCATCACTCGGCATCATTAACGACATGCGTGATGTCATCGAGAAGGCGATTCTTCTAGCGACTGATATAAACAAACACAAAAAGTCTTCTCGTCGCTACGGTTGAGTTGAGCCCAAGTAGTCATATTGGGCTATTTTAACAATGTTTTTACTAACTTTCTGGGCTGGCAAGTTTAGTGAGACAGCTCTCAGATTTAACCAAAAATATCTTAATTTGTGTTCCGAAGATGAACGAAAGTCTTACGGGGTTGGAACAACATGAGGGAGAGTAATTACTGACAGAGTTTTTATTTTTGGGTGAACTAACCCTTTAATACAATGTTGGTATGAGCCACCAGTCATTTAAAAATATACAAAATAACACAAAGTGAAAGTTTAGAACACGATTAGAAATTCGATTAATTGTGCAGCCCTACCCATCGTCGTCGTACAGATCAACACGACTAAAGGATCCTGCCAAAACCAGGCTGATATCGTGTCGTCTGAACCCAGCACTGTAAGTCATATGAACGCAAATTTATTCAATCAGTAGTCAGCACAAAATTCATGATCGTGTCAGGCCTACATGTGGGGGTTTGGAGACCACATGATATTATCAAGAATGAATTAAAGCAGACAGAAAGACTTAAGCACATCATAAAGCTTTACCCCAGCACATCTACTCGTGCCACAGATGAAACATCACACACACTGCGCACTGCTTTATTCATGCTCCTCTGGGAATTTATTAAGTGCTTTTTTTAATTTATTTTTTTATTCCATTTCATTTGTATCACTTGCGCTCCCGTCTGGAATTGTGGTATGGACAGGGAAGCAACAAGAGTCAGTTCATGTTCTCAGGCTAGAAAATCATTTACATCACAATATTTTTTTGTTTGTTTTACTGACTTTGAGACCACAAACATTCCAGCAACACACTCTAGGGTAGATGAGAAACAATCAGAAAGCTTGACTTTTTGCATAGTATTAAATGAACAAAGACATTGAGTTTTTTTATTTACAATTATTGTATAGATTATAAAATTCATAAAAACAAGATGGATGAACACTTTTCATTTACCCATAAATTGCTAGTGCGCCAAAAGTACCTGTGGCGACATATGCTCTTTGTTCCACAAAACGCATGCTGCTAAGTACAGTACATAGAAGCTGATGTATTGCAAGAAATATTATTATTCGTGATTATTAGAATGCTGTCATCCTTCCGATTTATTGGTTAAACATTTTAAACTGCATCCGTTATTTGGCCCGTCAACACAGGGCGCAGAACTAAACTGAACTGAATTGAACTGAAGTGGCCAGTCATACCGTGAAAGATCTCGTCTGGAGTCATTGCAGTCCACACACATTTCAGACAAACTTTCAACGCGTCAGAGGCGATTCTTTTGGTCAGTGTACAACAGTTGTGAGAATGGCTGTGAATGAGGCTTTGAAACGCGTTAAAGGGATAGTTCACCCAAAAACCAACAGGTCATCTTTACTGATAGACTCGCATCAGTTTTCAGAAATGGATTGGCTGATCGATTGAAAAGATCGTATCACATGAACATGCCAAGGAGAGCTATGGGGGAAATGTGTGAGGATTTGCAGTAAATAATGACTTAATTTCAATCTTCTGGATGGTTTGACTTCAGAAGACTATAGTGCAGAAGTCGTGCAGATGAACCAAATGAGGTGAACTATCCCGTTAACATGATAAAGGGTAAAAGATTTCTGGAAAAAAACAACAACGTTTTTTAGTATATTTCTCTCATTGAGTATGCCTGAGCTAACGGTTAAAGCTTGTGCACCTTATCTTGATGAGGAAAATTGTCAACAAAAAAAAACCAAGTCAAAATTTTGCGAAAAATGAGTTGCATATTACCTGTATGACATCATGCCTTTCCAATAATTGCAAAGAATATTAATGAATACATGGGTGACTTTATAAGTGTGCCTTCTGGTAGACGCCCATTTGTCCTTTAATTCTAGAGTACAATAAATAGTTAACGACTAGTGAATACTGTTGAGATGCTAGAGTATATTTACTGACTGCAGGAAGACAAGCTTGATTTGAACACAGAAGCACATCTAAATTTACACCACAGAAATTCATTCATATCCGGATAGTGCAGAAAAGGATCATAAATGTGTGTGTGTGTCTGTGTAATTTTTTTTGTTGCTGTTGTTGGTTTGGGTTTTTCTCTTTCTTTTAAGAAAAGAGTCAAAAGCAACATTCCTTATTGGTTTTGTTTCGTTACATTACATAATTCAGTTGTTCAAAGTGTCGTCAGCTCAGGAGCTGGGCTCATTTCCTTCAACCAAAAGAAATCTACAAATTAAATGTCAAAAAAGAAGAATCAACACAATAGATCACAATATTTGAACACAATTTTGATTTTCATACAGAGATGCCAAATAGAACTTAGTTTACACGTTTCCAACATAAAACCCATCGCAGCTTTCGATGGTCACACGGAACTGAAACTATTTTTATGTTAAATAGTATATACTTCTAAAGAAGATATTTAAACCCAACCTGATATATATATATATATATGCCCACGTTTGAGGCTGACCACAAGTTCATTGCAAGCGTTGACTTCGACGAAACCTTCAAATCCAGCAGAACCGATTGGATTTTCTCGGGGGCCGATCAGAGCCGTCGATCCCGACACTCGACTTTAATACTACGATGCCACATTAATGATATATCCCACTATATTTTGGTTTCTTTTGTTATCTTCTAAAAATATCTACATTATTTGACAAAATAGCAGGCAAGTCCAGCGCACAATTGGTAATAAAACACCTAGAGTACTGAACAACGTGAGCTGTCCCAACTACGTCTGCTGCGTGGTTTTGAACCCTACAAAGAAACCAGGACGTATCTACAAGTTTTGTAAACAAATTACATTCTCTTTAGGACATAAATAAGTTAAAGTAGTTATTGAAGCAGAACAAGGCAACATGCCAACAAATAAAGATAAACTCTGTAAATATATATTTATAATATGTCTATAAATATATATGTACGCTTAATAAATTCTAATTTCCATGGGTTTCTCTTTTCCGACAGGTGCAAATCTACTGTGCAAGTTGAGCCCTGCGACCTGGATACACCTTAATCAATAACCAAATAAATCTATACAATTAGATACATGCCACACACAATACTCACAGATCAGTGAATCAGATAAGCTGTCGTAAAATAGCAGTCCACCGCACGTCCCACCAAATCAAATCAAACCGTTTAAATAAAAAGAAAGGTTTCCGAATAAAAACCTGGGTAATGTACATTCATGCAGGAGCAACGATAATAGCTGAATTTGATTTAAATTACTCGTAATAGTCTGTCGTTTCCTCAGGAAATGGGAGCGCTGTGTCTGCGCTCGTGGTTTCTTGTATAGTTTCTCGAGTCACTCCGCGATCATCCGAGTCAGTCGTACGTTCAATAAAAAAAAAAAGAAAGTGGCGCGACCACGCCTTCAGTCAACAGTTCGCATGCACTCCGGAGTGCTTCTAAACGTAGAGTTTAAGATGATTATGGAGATCTCATGGCTAAAGCGATGTCTCCAGACTATGAAGCGGGCTCCCGGGACTGGAGGAAGCAGCAGATTTACTCGTGTCGGTTGTCAGGTTTATACCGCTATCGATGGCGTTGTTGTTCTTGTTGGGAGACGTGGGCTGGCTGGAGTTCTTCCTCGCCGCCTCTTCGTCAATGTCGATGTCGTCTATAAGAGGAATGTGAGGTGTGGAGTCCTCTATTCTAAACTCTGGATGAGTCATGAAATTGTGGATGGAGGTTCTGGAGTCGGGTTTTTCCAAGCCTTCGTAGAGCGAGCTACGAAATGCGTTCACAACACGTATCTGCGTGAGGAAAGAGATCAGTGTTAAAGGGTTGTAAAGTGAGTTGGAACACCCCCCCGTCAGAAAGGAGGGACACCCGTGGAGAACATTTGGAAAACATTTGTGATTCACTTACTCTGCCGTGCACTGAGACGGTTTAAGGATTGCATTGAAAAGAACGCAACTCAAACTCACGATAAAGAAAACATAGGCAATGCTCTTATGTCCCGTTCAGTACACAATACAGTATACAGTGTAAGGTCCAATGTGTTGTATACCTAGAGACAAGCATTGTTAATTCAACAAAAATAAAAAGTTAAAAACAAAGGAAAAACAAAACATCATGCAAGTTGAAAACATCTCGTGGAAAGTTGGTAAGAGGAATATATTAGATAGATCCAGGATGAGTTTCAAGATAAACACAAAGTCAAAGCCAAAGAAAATAAAAGAAAGAGTAGAAGTCTACAGAGACTCAATCGAGAATGACGGGGACAGGAGATCCTATGCTTCAAGAGCATAGAGTCACAACACGATGATGGAAGCAAACCAAAAGCTTGACAAGCCAACTCAACGACTACACACAACATGCAACTCGGGACAACACCAAATGGAGATGAACACAGGCACACAGACTGTGGAATAAGAAAAGACGAGAACAAACAAAGGTCTGTTCTTTTAAAAACTCCATGCGTCTCTGTGTAAACACTCAAGTATAGGCCGAAAAGTTTTGTTGAGGTTCACAGAACAAAAAAAAAAAAAGAAGAGAATCCTTTAATAAGTTATTACTGTGGAATTAAAACTTTACAGAAGTACTTTAATAGTTGGGAGTAGCTAATATTCCACTTCAAAGGTTTACAATAACAAACAAACTTTCGGAAAAAAAACTGTACAATAATCTAAACTAACTATGAAAACGGTCTATGGTCCTGTTCCACAACCTAGTGAGCAACCTATCTAAACAACAAGATATTCAAAGATAAATCGTTCTAGTCAAATTCTCAGTGGACTGGGTTAAGATTACATTTTTTTGTCTGTTAGTCCATTCTGCAAAAAATAGATGGAAAGTTCAGTCTAATTAAAATAGACAAGATCTATCTGGACTACTTATTAGAGTATTAGCTTAGTAACATGCTAACGTCAGCCTAGCATTGTGATCTATTCTTCGATTCAAGTGAGGAATCAGCGTTCGCTGTAGAGTGTTTCATACCCGTCACTTATGCGGTTTTATTTGGCTTAGGATTCTGCCTTAAGGCAGGGGAGTCCAATCCTGCTCCTGGATGGCCATTGACCCACAGAGTTTAGCTCTAACCCCAATTAAACACAGTTAATCAGGGTCTTCAGACGAATAAACTTCAAGGCAAGTGTGTTGGGACCAAGTTGGAGATTAACTTTCCGGGGCATTGGCCCTCCAAGAGCAGGACTGGACATCCCTGCCTTAAGGGATGTTCACAATAGGGGCTTTCACACCGGAGAAACGTTTTCATAGTTCCTAAAGTCTCGCGTAGCCAGACCATCAGACTGACGGCAGGCTACATAGCAGCTTTCATTGGCCAAGGACCATCCAGAGGCCGTCTGACTGACATGTAAAGCAACCAATCACAATTTGTTTTTTTCTGCATCATGTTTAGGGGCGTGAAACTGTAATGTCGATGACCCAACATTTACAGAACGGTGTGTAAGACTCTTGGACGTATTTGAAAGTCTATGCTGCAAACTTTACATACTTAAAAAAAAAATGAGCTCCTACTTCAAAGTAGGGTCTAACCCAGGATATTGGGAACTACCAGCGTAAGTGTACGTTGATTGGACGAACGCATCCGAAACACCGGCAGCCACCATTTTTAAAAAGCTGTGTAAACAAACAGTTTATAGCCTATATATTTACGCCACGAACATGGAAAACAGCAAAATATGGACCGACGCCGAAGTCCAGGCACTTCTAAACCTTTTACGCTAAGGAGGAAATCCAAAGTTACTTTAAAGGGAACAAGCAAAACACGACTATGTTCTAGTCCTAGTGACATTAGGCATCAACCACATGGCAAATGCTATAATACTTTGTTGTATACCGTTTACTTTGTTTGTTTAACAGTTATAATGATGTATTAGATAGGACTGTTAAACAGATCGTAAACTAATGAATAGACAGAATGGGAGCGCTGTGTGCTCAGGCTGGCTTTCTCAGCCCGTTAAAATAAAAGTCCCATACAACAACGAGAGTGGCAGGGTTCCTTCTGGCGGTGCGAATGAAACCAGGAATGACCAAAACCAAAATGGCCCTGAGGGAAAAGATCTCGAGGGACCACCATGGTGGCTAGTTCCAATAGCCGAGTTCCTATAACTACCCGGTGCGAAAGCCCCTAAGGACAGTAAAAAAAAAAATGTAGGTCTCTAATTCTCTGTGCTATATTAGTACTAGACGTTCCTACTCAAATTATATCCCTGCATCCATGAACTGATAGCAGTTACTGTGCTCAATGTAGGCACGATATGTGCTTAAGATGTGGGCCATACATGGGTTTTTCCATTGGTTCCATGCTGGCCCTATTGGAATAAGCCCCAGTATGGGCCACACATGGGTTTTTCCATTGGTACCATGCTGGTGTTATTGGAATTATTCCCAGTATGGGCCATACATGGGTCTTTCCATGGGTTCCATGCTGGCCCTATTGGAATTAGTTTATATTGTGGCTATTTCAGATAGGGCCGACATGGAACCCATGGACAAACCCATGTAGGGCCCATAACTGAAGCCCATTTCATGTCTACATTGGCCCCACCATGAAATGATTGCTGGAATAAAATGATCAAAATCCTACATCAAACAACCAACAAACTCGATTCTAACCTTTTCTCCTGTAGCGAAATAGCACACTTTCAACCGAGCTAAGAGCAAACTTACAAAGCCAACACAAACTGGTCTGAATGACAGATGAGAACAAATGTCGGAAGGAATCACATAGATGAAGACTGGTCTAACGTTTAGTGAGATTCTGCAACTGTCAGCATCACACAGCAGACTACATGACCAACAGAGTAAAGCCATGAGACATAATGGGTCACTGTGGCCTCGATCTACATCAAACAGACGACAAATAAGACAAGACTATGGGGAGGAAGCGCCACTTTCTTCACACGTCTCTGTATCTGTGTGGAGAGAAAAAAAATAAAAAAGGAACAAAACAGCCTCCCGTGATCAATAGAGTAACTTCAACAATGCAACCTAGAGCATTTTGTAGAACATGTCAGGCTTAAGCTGAGTGGGGAATGGTACCGTTGGCTATACTTGAATGTTTACCCAGCCTGGTGAGTTTGTTGGTGGAATATTAGTTCACATCAATTTTGCGACGGACAATGGAGGGACTCACAACCTGAAATTCACTTCGTAGGCTGCACCCTTAGTCCAGGGCTCTTAGCACTCTGGGGAAAACAAACACATGGTACATTGAAACATATGTTCTTCTGAGAAGTGGGTTAAAGATGATCTGATAAACTGTGACATGAAGAGCAAGAGGAAATCAGAAGCAAAGCAGATTTCAGGGATGCCCTTTGACTATTACGCTAATCGTCTATGTCTAATAAGAAACTGTTAGAGAGCTCCGGTGTCATGCCCAATCTCTTTTGGACCTTAAGGGTATCTGTTTGTAATTCCTGATCAGCAATGTCTGTCAGATCTTTCTGCTGTAGCTGTTAGAGCCAGACTTGTGTCCAGTGTCCATATCTAACAGAAATATGTATAAACTAGTATAACATGTTATCATTTATACTATACTAGTTTTAACAAATTAAAGGGAAACATCACACTAAACTGTCTACTAAATGTCTTTATACTATTATGAATTATACGGTTCAAAATTTTTGTCCAAGGCCAAGTAATCCTGCATTCACGCCAAAATGAAAATATTGGAAATTGGGAATGTTTTATTACAGCTCATAAAGTGGTATGTACTTTCTTTGTTTTTCATGCAATTTATTTTGTGAGAGCATATAGAGGTGAACTTATGTAGTGATGAAGGATTTTTTTGTCAATAACAAAGCCGTACATCGATTCATTTTGGTGTTGCCATAGAAACAAATCATTTCTGAGTCAGTGGATGTGTACAGCTCTGAGTAGCCGTTTTCTCATAATTATGGTAATCCTGACACAACATTAATGCAGCATAATATTTGCAACAGATTGTAGAGAAAAGCCTCTTTCTAGAATATGTGCTGCAGAGCTGCTTCCCTGACATTAACTGTTTAATGATCAGTCTAAAACAAGGGTGCCCAATCTTGTAACTAGAGATCCAGGCTGTGTCCGAAATCACTCTCTATACCCTTAAATAGGGCACTATTTGAGGGAACAGCCATTTGTAGTGGTTTCAGAAACCATAGTGGACGTTATCAACTGCACTCATTCAATCCCACAATGCACTGCAATAACGAATTAACAACCGATGTATGCTCATTGGCTAGAGAATACCCATAATGCACTGCGAGGGTCGCGCGCCAAATTAATTCCCGCATTTGACCAGAAGATGGCGTAATATCATACATGTAGAAATTAATTTTAAATTGATTATTAAATTGTTTAATGTAGGTTTATACATAGTTGTCATGACATAGTTCAAGATAAATCTTTTCCGTATTACTGGAGCTGCCAATTTGCAAAGTTATTAAAGTTATTATTAAACCCCAAGCACAAACTATGGAAAAGCGGAAGCCCCTCGGGCTCAATCAGTGTCCGAATTCACTCACTCGTTTTCATGCACTCCTTCAAGTGGACTATATTAGTGGACTAATGTAGGGAATAGTGAACGAGGGTATAGGGGGTGACTTCAGGCATAGTCCTACCTTCCTGCAAAGTTCAGCTCCAACCATGATTAAACACACACAGCTAAATAAGATGTTCAGGAGCACTTGATAACTACAGATCAGGGTTGGATCTGAACTCAGGTAAGTAGATCTCCAAGGACAGGATTGGGCACCATTGGTTTAAAAGGTATGGTAACACTTTACTTGAAGGAGTGTGCATAAGACTGACATGACACCTTCATAATCATGACGTGACACATGTCATGAATATGAAGGAGGGTTCATGCATGTTTATGACGACTGTCATTAAAGGACAACTCCGGTGCAAAATGAACCTCGGGTGTAATAACACATTGGTACAGACTAAATCGTTCCCTGAGATTTGTTTTCATGATAATCGAATGTGAAGAGTTTTATCTCTAAAAACAGTTAAGCTTATAACGCTAGTATATTGGGCATCGAGTAAGCAAAAAGAGATCGCTAGTTAATACCATTAACAAGGCTCAAATTAGCCCCACACTAACACGGCAGCATAATGAGTGTCCTTACATGCAAACCGAAGCATTGAGAACTTTGTAAGTGTATAGACAGTTTAATAAGAAGATACTTTACACAGACAGTACAGTTAGCGCATACAGACAGCAGCCATCTTGGAAAACAGTCTCGATTAGTCAAACCACGAACACGGTGATACGTGAGCTGAACTGTGACTTGGAATCTCATATGGTCCGTTGTTTCCGGAAGAAAGCACTGAGCGCATAAGAGAAGCACTGAACGCAACAGAGAAAATAAAAAAATAAATATAATTTATCTTATCTTCAATATCTACACGTACTGTTCGCTCACCTTCGTGGTTCGATTGATCGAGGCTGCTTTCCAAGATGGCTGCTGTCTGTATGCGCTAACTGTACTGTCTGTGTAAAGTATCTTCTTATTAAACTGTCTATACACTTACAAAGTTCTCAATGCTTCGGTTTGCATGTAAGGACCCTCATTATGCTGCCGTGTTAGTGTGGGGCTAATTTGAGCCTTGTTAATGGTATTAACTAGCGATCTCTTTTTGCTTACTCGATGCCCAATATACTAGCGTTATAAGCTTAACTGTTTTTAGAGATAAAACTCTTTACATTCGATTATCATGAAAACAAATTTTAGGGAACGATTTAGTCTGTACCAATGTGTTATTACACCCAGGTTCATTTTGCGCCGGAGTTGTCCTTTAAGTGTCATTCGCTCAATTATGACATTTTTAATGCAAATATGACATTGTTTGAGATGTCTTTGTTATGACAACTTGACATAAACCAATACATCATAACCTGTCAGTATCTTTGTCATGACAACTTGACATTACTAAGACAACACAACCTGTCATAAATATGTCATAAACATAACATAGCAGATTAATTATCAAACTTAAGAAAGCACTTAGCTTTATGGGTGAACATTACATTAAACTGTCATGCGGTTGGTTTTGACATTGGCTGTCATGAGGCCATTATAACTGTGTCATGAACATTTTTCTTGAACTCAACTACAGTGGTACACATCGAATTTGTCATTAAAATGTTATAATGGCCTCATGACAGCCAATGTCAAAACCAACCGCATGACAGTTTAATGTAATGTTAACCCATAAAGCTAAGTGCTTTCTTAAGTTTGATAATTAATCTGCTATGTCATAATATGTAATCAGGTTGTTGTTTTAGTAATGTCAAGTTGTCATGATAAAGACACTGACGATGTATTGGTTTATGTCAAGGTGTCATTACCAAGACATCTCAAACAATGTCTTATTTGCATTAAAAATGTCATAATTGAGCGAATGACACTTAATGACAGTTGTCATAAACATGCATAAACCCTCCTTCATATTCATGATTATAAAGGTGTCATGTCTTATACACACCCCTTCAAGTAAAGTGTTACCAAAGGTATTACTTAGCTTACACTAAAAAAAATGCTGGGTTGTTTCACCCCAAATTTGGGTCAAGTATGGACAAACCCAACCGTTGGGTTAAAAATGTAATTAAAAAATTTAACCCAACGTTGGGTTTGTCCATATTTGACCCAAATTTGGATTGAAACAACCCAGCATTTTTTAGAGGGGGCCACGTGTTTTGTGATATCTTACCCAATGTTGCCACTGTTTCAAATATCTTGGGTTTTTTAAATTTTATTCATAGACCTGTTTTCTGATTTTGATTGCCTGTTCGTCGTTGTGATTGGCCCACTTCAGGTCCAAGGGCATCCCTGACAAACACCCAAAGAAGAGTGTCACTCACGCCCAGAGGAAGCAGCAGCAGTGCTGGTAGGAGAGGAAAGAGCATTGCACAAGGACATGTGACTAGGACTAGAAACATTGGTTACATCCTGATTTTGACTGGTGGTGGAGGACTGGCGTCTCAAAGCCCCCTGAACTGAAGTCCCGCTCTTGAACGTGTTCACTACCTCGATCTGCAGGAAGGGGGAGAGAAATACACGGAGCACAGCGCGTCAAAGACCTGACCAATGCTTCATCACATGGACATGGTTTAGAAGGCAATGACAGGCCCTCATCACACATTAAACACTTCATCTTAAATTAGCACTGAGGCTTTGATGGCTTTAGAAAAGTCCTCCTCGCTGCTGCTGATGATGAACGCCTTCACCTTCACGAGCCTCACCGCAGGACTGCATCATTACGCCTAGGAGAGCACTGTTATCATATCACATACATTTAACAGGCAATACAATTCACTCTAAATGATTTGCATGCCATTACTAAACTCCAGCATGCAGGTTGTCACATGCGGTGCATTATACAACAGTTAGTGATCCTCTAATCTTATTGGACAAACGGCTGATATGTAGAATAAGGATGTTTTTCTGTTCACGGGATTTTTACCTGAATTTTCAACCATGTTTGTTAATGATGTCACGCAGGTGGTGGAGTAATAACTACTTGAGATCGAATTAATGCGAGATGTTTTGCTATAAATTACATGGTGTCTGAGGACTATTTATCATTTTTCTCAGTTATTTTGCTTTATTTCCAGATTCAATCATAAGCTCGTTCTTACACACTGGAGCTCATTCACACATGCGCACTCTTCAAACACGACACTTTAAATCTCTTGACAAACTAAAAGATGTAAATGACATTTGTATGTATTCTAAATAAAAGATATAGATTGCACTGAATGTCAGCTTGCTTATTTTGCTTAAGATCAGGATTTATTGAGTCCACATGTCATGCAAACTGGAAACTCTGCTTCTAACCACAGCTCGAGATCTAGATCTGTCAAACACACAACTCTGCGATGCTGTTTGCGAATGTTCGTTGGAACGATGGTTTCGGGAAATAGCGACTCGTTGAACTGCTGATAACGACAGAGCTTGCTACAATAGTTAGCTAACGATGCTTTCGGGAAACACACCCCTGATTGGTTACAAGGTAGTTTGTGACGTCAGAAACACCAGCGATTTCAAACCGTGTTTTTGAGACTGTCTTTGGTTCACTGCAGTTTTAAGGAGAAAATACTCAGCAATGCTGTCGACTTATGAATTTACACATGGTTTGTCTTAAAGCATATTAAAAACACCACATAGACACATAAACAACATCAAAAGCTGGATTTGTATCACAGGGGGTCTCTAAAATAGTAGTTAGTCATTATGCAACAATAAATGTTTAACAGTGCTATGCTACATTGTCACATGACCTCATTCCGTTACATGTAAGTGGTGTGTAGCTTTTGTCATTGATATCATAATTTATACTTTCGATTAGAACTGTACTGAGATTTACGCTGCTATTTAGATCTAAAACTCTGACTTCGGTGACTTTTCGGATGGAATATGACAGTGTTTTTGTCATATGAAGGTGTACCGACAGGCGACACCACATGATTTATGCAACAGAACAAAAGTGTCGCGATCAGCGCTGATGTGTGTGCCAGTAATGCCAGTGTTTGGCAGAGCTGGGCTGCGGTTCAACCTCCGCACGATCTAAATCTGACTATAAAACACACTGCCAGCCGTGCAGATGGTTGAATCTCAAGTACATAATTACAAACACAATTGATGTACAAGCATAAGTATGGTTACATACTACAGATCCCATTTCAGTGCAGAATTCATGCAGAATATTTCAGGCAGTCGTAACTTTCCAGATTCTCAGCGGCTGTCTAACCTGAGTCTGGATTCTGTTGAGGCCTCTGAACCAGAGGATCTGTCCTCGTCGTAACTCTCTCTCTGTGTAATCGATCTCCTCCTGGTCCTCGTTCATCTCCTCCTCGGCCGTCATCTCGTGCTTCTGCGTCAGACGGCCAGCTCCTTTGAGGAACCTCAGCTTGCTGTTCGGGATAGTTGATATAACCTGAGCAAGAGAGAGGATGTGCATGACGGATATTAGAACAGGACAGCACCAAGAAAAACAAGAAAAGATAGATAGATAGATAGATAGATAGATAGATAGATAGATAGATAGATAGATAGATAGATAGATAGATAGATAGATAGATAGATAGATAGATAGATAGATAGATAGATAGATAGATAGATAGATAGATAGATAGATAGATAGATAGATAGATAGATAGATAGATAGATAGATAGATAGATAGATAGTTCGTCCATTCCAATGGCTCATAAAAAAATGATAAAAAAATGCTACAACGGGCATTAAAATATAACACTAAAAAGATTTTGACAGCAGCATATGAATAATGATACTTAAATTTATGCATTGCAGACGCTTTAATCCAAAGCGACTCACATTGCATTTCAAGCTAGAAATTTACATTCTTATCAGTTCTTGCTAAAAAGCTAAAAAGATTTGAAAGAATATTGACCAGTATTACCTGTCCCCAGACCAGCTCTCCCAGCCCAAGGAAAACACACCACATCCACTTCTCCAGGTCCAGAGGAGAACAACTGAACGGCTTCCCTCCAAACTGAATAATTACAATCTAACAAACAAATGTTAAAATGGAGCTGTGTAGAACTAATAACGTGGAGTGGTGAAGTATATTTATAACTGTAGGAGAGAGCAGGGCACAACATAACACTCGGTTTGTGTAAACATTTACAAAGAGAACATTCAGAAATAGCATTTTCGTAACTTAAAGCTGCAGTCCGTAGCTTTTTTGGGGTTAAAAATGATCCAAAATACATATATAAATACATATACGTCATTACGTCACATCTGTACACATAAAGAAGAGTCTCGGCTAGTCGGCTATATTGCGTGTGAGGATGCTGGAGGTGGAGATTTATAGCCTTTTCTCACAGCACTTGATATAATTAAACTTATCAATTTGATGGCGGATCCAGAAAGGTTCAAACGACAATCACCAGTGACAGCTGGAGATTCACCCGATGTAAAACGCAAAAGACTTCGTTCGGACTTCGGAATGGCTACAGAAAAAAAGAGACTGCAACCGAACCCATGCGAAAAGAAGGATAATATCGGAAGGACATTACATGTAGTCACGCAATGCTTGGTTACGATGTTAACATTAACAATTTGAGAACAAAGTATAATTTGCACGGTTTTGCGTGATGTGATTCGCGATTTTTAGATTTAATCAGCGCGATTTACTGCAATGTCAGAACCAGAACAAAGGTGGATGTTTCTTTCTTGTTCAGACATTTTCCGGTGAAAATTATTATGTTGGTCATACTTCCAAAAAGAATAATCTGTGATTCTGAATGACAGTACCCACACCGGCGTGGTGACTGACAGCCTCACACTCTCCTCAAACACTGTGTTCATCCGCGCTGTGCCGTGTCGAACTAGCCTGGCAAGCCAGACCTACATCAAGATGTTAGGTCTGGGAACTCACAATTGGCATACCTCAATCCGAGGGGCGGGATAAACAGTTGTCTTTCAATATCCCTCAGCACGCAATAGGATAGCGCTACAACCAACCAGAGCAACGAACGGCTGAGGCTGAGTGAGTCCCATGCGTTTTTCCACCAGTGAACCAGCCATATGTGAACCAGCTAGTTGGTATATTAAACTTTTGCCGTATCCGGTCGTCAAAACTCCGAACACATCTTCCTTTTTTAGGAATGACTTAAGTGACGTTCTCTTAACTCCAAGTCATCCAGAGTCGCGGGCAAAGCCGATTCGAAAGACCGCTGCTCGCCAGCAGCATCTTCTTTGTTTTCAAGCAGAGGGAAATCACCTATGGAAATCACGCGGAACCGACATAACTCTGCCGTCATTTTGTTAAGCCCGCCCACCCACTCTACACGATCTGATTGGCCGGACCAGTTTTTGGTTTTTCCAGCTCAAAAGTCTATGGAGAGTTGCTAGACCACACTTTGCTGCAAAATAATTTTTGCTGCCGCTAGGGTGCGTCTAGATTTCTAGGCTAGTGTCTAACTACAACTCGCGTAGAGTTAATAATTCCGCGAAAAACTGCAATTGCAGATTTCGAACAGAGATGGCGACAAAGAGGAAAAACTGCGCACTGCAGCTTTATTGGGAACTTGAACAAAACATGTTTTGTTAGCTGGAAACAATCAATGGCAATTTGTCTGAAAAACCTATTTGAAGAAAAAAGATGTTGGTACCTGAATGGCGAAAGTGCCGAGGACAATGGAGCAGAAGATGGGATTTCTGAAAATGCCTTCAAACACGTTTCTCTCTCCGTGGATCTTGCGGGCGTTGATCTCGTTGAAGAGCTGCATCATGACGAAGGTGTTGAAGATGATGGTGTAGTGCTCAGAGGGAGGAGAATGAAGCGGCGCGTGTCTGCCACTGTCGATGTCAAAGATCTGCTCACCTGGACACAACACAAGACACTATATATCTATATATAATCCTATACGCACATCCTTTAGGAACGTTGTCAGAATTACTGTGATTACGAGATTCTGATTTGTAAAAAGTGTAACTTCCTCGTAGAACTCTTAAAGGAATAGTTCACTTCAACATGAAAATTCTGTCATCATTTACTCACCCTCAAGTTCTTGCAAACCTGTATGAGTTTCTTTCTTCTGCTGAACACAAAAGAAGATATTTTGAAGAATGTCGGGAACCAAACAGTTGTTGGACCCCATTGAACTCCACCTCCTTTTTTTCCTACTTTTGAAGTCAGTGGGGTCCATCAATCTTGTTGCCGACATTCTTCAAAATATCTTCTTTTGTGTTCAGCAGAAAAAAGAAATTCAAACAGGTTTGAAACATTTTGAAGTGAACTAATCTTTTAACTCTTTCCCCGCCAACTTTAAAAAAAAAAAAAAAGTTGCCAGCCACCACCAGCGTTTTTGATAATTTTCACAAAAATGTCATGGCCCCCAGAATATTTTATTGGATGAATATTTGAACATACGATATATCAAAATCATAGAGCCACTGCTTTTAAACAAACAAACAAACAAACAAACAAACAAACAAACAAACAAACAAAAAAAATCATTCTAGCTTCATGGATTTTTTTAATCAAAATTTTATGTGGGTAAGTTTCATAAAAAAGCAACATTTTAAACAAAAAGCTAAGAAAATCAAGTGTTTTTTAACAAAGTCTAAAGCGTGCGTAAGCAATGCTTTTATTAGAGATCGAGCGATTTTGTTTTTCTTTATAACCGATATTTCCAGGTTTATGTGATCTTTCACCGATTAATCGTGCAGCTCTACTTCACATGGATCGAGAACGCAACTTACCTGCAAACAGCAGCGTGAAGATGATGGTGAGCTGGTACACACCGTGGCCCAGTATGTTCTTGGTCATGGTACTGGAGATCAGGGGTTTGTTCCGCCCGTAGGGTTTCCTCCTCAACAGAGACTCAGTGGGCGGTTCGGTGGCCAAAGCCAGAGATGCGAACGTGTCCATGATCAGGTTTACCCACAACATCTGCACTGCTTTCAGAGGAGAATCCTGAGAGAAGAACATACAATCTGCTTAAAACACAACGTTTATAGCAATGAGCCATGCTGAACTGGGACAGATGTTATTTTCCAGACAGGGGTGTGTTTCCCGAAAGCTTCGTTAGCCAACTATAGTCGCGAGTTCTGTCGTTATCAGCAGTTCAACGAGTCGGTGTTTCCCGAAACCATCGTTCCAACGAATATTCGCAAACAGCTTCGCAGAGTTGTGTGTTTGAGCGACAGATCTCGAGCTGTGGTTAGAAGCAGAATTTCCAGTTTGCATGACATGTGGACTCAATAAATCCTGATCTTGAGCAAAATAAGCAAGCCGACATTCAGTGCAATCTATATCTTTTATTTAGAATACATACAAATATCCTTTACGTCTTTTAGTTTGTCAAGAGATTCAAAGTGTCGTGTTTGAAGAGTGCGCATGTGTGAACGAGCTCTAGTGTGTAAGAACGAGCCTATGATTGAATCTGGAAATAAAGCGAAATAGATGTCATGTCTAATTTATAGCAAAACATTTAGCATTGATTCGATCTCAAACAGATTCATTAAAAGTAGTTATTACTCCAACACCTGCGTGACATCATTAACCAATGATTTGTGACAGTATGGTTTCGGGAAACAGTCGAGACTAGTTAGATGATTTCTTCAACGATGCATCGCACTATGATAGTCGTCAATGTGTGTCATAATATTGGTCAAAGACTCTGAAACTGAGATCTTCCTCACGATTGAGTGTCCTTGTTCATCTAACGCTCTCTGGACATTCATTTCTCATCAGGGTATCTCCACACAGTCTAGCCTCGTTCTCTTAGAAGTGCTGCATCATTTATTAGGTTAGCGATCCTCTAGGAAATTAAACAATGCTATTTTAGATCATAGGGATGAAGTCTTTGGCCTTGGCCTAGTAATCTAATATGGTTTCTTTGCCAGTGCCCTATGTCTCTCCATAGTCTAATTTGAGATTTCATAGTAGGTCAGATCTATGGTCTTGTCAAAGGCGTCTCATATGTGTTAGCAGTGGTTTCAAAGTATGAAGAAAATGCACAAAAGGCTACAAAAGCGAGTGTTGGATGGTTGCCAGTGCGTGTAAGACGCTTGATGGATTATTCATATCCGTAATACAAATAGTGCCGGATCAGTTATATGACCGCTCAATAGTTTGAGGTCAGTAAGATTTTTGATGTTTTTGTCTCACCAAGGCTGATTTAATTGATCAAAAATACAGTAAAAACAGTGAAATATTACTACAATTCAAAACTGTTCAAAGCTGTTTTCTATGTGAATATATAGTAAAGTGTAATTTATTCCTGTGATCAAAGTTGAATTACTCCAGTCTTCAGTGTCACATGATCCTTCAGAAATCACTCTAATATGATGATTTGATGCTCAAGAAACATTTATGTTTAATATCAGCGTTGAAAACAGTTCATATTTTTTTGGAAACTGTGATACATTTCAATTGTCAGGATTCTTTGATGAATTGGAAAAAAAAAGCATTTATTTTAAATGGAAATCGTTTGTGATCGATTTAATGCATGTTTCTAAAAAAGAAAGAAGAAAAAAAAAGAAATCATACGGACCTATGGTACTGACAAACCCATAAAGTTACCCTTTTGAAGGGTTATATATGTGCTGAGGTTTAATAGGCTTGATATAGGCGGTAACACTTTACTTGAAGGGGTGTGCATAAGACTTCATAATCATGACAGGACAGTACATGTCATGAAAATGAAGGAGGGTTCATGCATGTTTATGACAACTGTCATTAAGTGTCATTCGCTCAATTATGACATTTTTAATGCAAATATGACATTGTTTGAGATGTCTTTGTTATGACAACTTGACATAAACCAATACATCATAACCTCTCAGTGTCTTGGTAATGACAACTTGACATTACTAAGACAACACAACCTGTCATAAATATGTCATAAACATGACACAGCAGATTAATTGTCAAGCAAAGGACAAGTTCGGTATTTTACACTTAAAGCCCTGGTTTAAGATTGTTTCTGATGAAATAGAACGGTTAAGATTGAAATTTGGACACATGCTGCTGGCCTGAGAATTTTCGGTTTCTGTGGTTGCACCAATGGTTGCATAGGTACACTGGAACAATCCTTCATAAAACGCATTCAACTTTAGTTTACAAAGATGTGAAACTCACCGTGTGGTCTGGGGTGTCAATCTTAACCGTTCTATCTCATCAGAAACGATCTTAAAACAGGGCTTTAAGTGTAAAATACCGAACTTGTCCTGTAAGAAACCACTTAGCTTTATGGGTTAACATTACATTACATTAAATTTGTACCACTGTAGTTGAGGTCAAGAAAAATATTGTCAAATGTCAACAATGTCAAAACCAACCGCATGACAGTTTAATGTAATGTTCACCCATAAAGCTAAGTGCTTTCTTAAGTTTGATAATTAATCTGCTATGTCATGTTTATGACATATTTATGACAATTTATGTTGTCTTGGTAATGTCAAGTTGTCATAACAAAGACATCTCAAACAATGTCATAATTGAGCGAATGACACTTAATGACAGTCGTCATAAACATGCATAAAACCTCCTTCATATTCATGACATGTGTCATGTCTTGATTATAAAGGTGTCATGTCAGTCTTATGCACACCCCTTCAAGTAAAGTGTTACTGACACTATTTTCTTCTGGATCTGCTGTACAGCTGAAACAAACTCTGTTGCATTATTTTCCTGTTATCTCTGTAAAGCTGCTTTGAAACACTCTGTATAGTAAAAAGCGCTGTATAAATAAAGGTGATTTGTCTTGTCAGCTAATAAAAGCACACTCAGACCTGTGTGATACAGGCTCCGGTGAAGGCCACGATCACGGCCACCACGTTCACGGTGAGCTGGAACTGGAGGAACTTGGAGATGCTGTCGTACACGTTACGTCCCCACATCACGGCCTTCACGATGCTGGAGAAGTTATCGTCGGTCAGGATGATGTCGGACGCCTCTTTGGCCACATCTGTGCCTGCGATTCCCTGCCGAGACACAAGCCCTCACATCGTGACAAATATCATTCATTCATTCACTAATGTTACCATGACCAGGATATGCCAAACCATAAACAATATGCATTCTAACATTGCATTTCACAAAACCTGTCAAGAACATTTGCAGTCTTAAAAAGTTAGTCATCTATTTTCTTTTCTAAGTCAGTTACCGTACATAAAAAGGTAGATCCGTCTTATTTAAATAGTTAAACTGGCCCCAGGTCTTTTTTTTTAGCCCAACGTCAAAAGAGAATAAGAAATAATAGTTTTTGATTTTTTTTTTGTCTGCACATGAACCTTTTAGGGCTCCCATCATTTTATGGATTTAGTGTGTTTTGGGTTACACTTTATTTTAAGGTGTCATTGTTTCAGTGTAATTACAGTATATATTTAAGTACTGAGTAATATTAAGCAACTACATGCACTTACTATAGGGTTAGGGTAGGATTAGGGTTTGGTTGAGGGTTAGTTGCATGTAATTATGTATAATTTACTGTTATTATTATGGTAAGTACATGTAACAAGGACACCTTAAATAAAGTGTTACCGTGTTTTGTTTTAATTCAATTATTATACTAAGTCAATTATATGAACTAAACAGATTGTAAAAATACTTTATCACTAGAAAAAAAAATGGAAAAACCCATTAAACGTGAAACCATAATGCAATAATTTGAGACGTTCTCCTTTTAAAGAACCTTTTTGGTGTAAAGTGTTCTTTAAAACTGAGTCTAGAACTAAACGGAAGTGATACTGAATAGATGAATAGCTACTGAAGCGAGATCAATCCTGATGTGGACAGTGTGTGATGACCAGTGTCTAGGTAAAGAGTAAAGATGTTTCCACACACACCGTGTTAGTGTTTTGTAACGACTAGCCTGAGGGCCTGTTCTCTCTTAACACACGGCTGACGGTAAAACCATGGTAAATCCCACAGAGAAGAAGCAGCGGGTGTCAGTTTGATGAGCAGGAACATAGGAATATGCTCTCTAAACTTATGGAAATAGAAATGGTAGTGCTGACACAGGCTGTTTTTATACCTCATCGTCACCTTCCTAAAATAATTCAGGTTTCTCAGAAAACACAAAAAAACTGAACCAATAATTGAATGTATGATATTTATTTCGTTCTTCTTGATGCAGCTGCCATCTTGAAAAGCTTGTCAAATTGCCAAAGTCTCGTTGTCTTTTGACTTAGGCAAAATAAAACGGCCTTAGTCACACTCTTGACATGGGCCATTATACTAGAATTGCACGATCTGTTCAACTGACGATGACTTTTACCAGAGGTGGCCGGCATCATGAGGAGATGACTTATGCAGGAAAAAATATATTTTGTTAAAAAATGACTTAAGCAGTTATTTTAGGAAGGTGACGTTATGCAAGTCAAGTGAAAACAGGAGTAAAGCAATGGCTCCCACTAGGGGGCGCTCTGGACTTGGAGTGATTGTGCATTGTGAAAATGAGGACAGGCTGTGTTTGAGCAGCTTGTGGAGATCGAGACTCGTGTGTTTGACGGGTTCTCACCATGGCAAACCCGACGTCTGCCTTCTTCAGAGCCGGCCCGTCGTTTGTTCCATCGCCGGTGACAGCGACGACCTGCCGCTGCTCCACCAGAGTGCTGTCGATAATACCTGACACACAACACACACTCACAGATTACTCACAACATTTCTGCAACACCACATAAAGCATTGCTTATATGACTAGTGCATTGTGCAATATCAAGCTACATTAATTTGTACCAACATGAACTAACAATGAGCAATACATTTGTTACTGTATTTATAAATCTTTGTTATTGTTAGTTAATAAAAATGCAGCTGTTCATTGTTTGTTCATGTTAGTTCACAGTGCATTAACTAATGTTAACAAATACAACCTTTGATTTCAATAAATGTTGAAATTAATATTAACTAAGATTAATAAATGCTGAAGACGTATTGGTCATTCTGAGTTCATGTTAACTAAGGTAGTTAACTAATGAACCTTATTGTAAAGTGAATATCCTAGTGATATGCTAATAAGCAACTATAGTTAATAGTGAGAATTGGACCCTAAACTAAAGTGTTACCAAAATATAAAGTATTCATTATATAATTATTTAATTTGACATGAAATATAATTAATATATTTAAGTTTAAATGTATATATCCAAGCTTGCAAATTACTTGTGTTTAGTGCACTCTATCAGCGCATCCTTGCCGAATGAAAAACATGAATTTCTTCAATATTTCTAAAAAAGATTCAACATCAGATGTTGCTACATGCTACTCATTTACTGGAATAAATTACATGAAACACTTATAATGAACAGCCATATGTCGTCCGCATTAAAGCGATGCGATGCGAAGACATCAGGGACAATCAAGCGATTGCGCCTAGAAATGAAATCCACCAGTGATGTAATTACAGCACAGCATTTACTCACAGTATGTTAATTATCCAGTAACCTCAGCCTTGACGTTCAGTCTTACGTAACCATCACAGATCTGAGTCCACACCGCTTTACTAACACACTCCGGCTGTAAATGCCAATGTTCATGAACTCAAGTGGATTATTCATCTAAAAATGTCAGTTCTTGTTCATCAGAACCATTTTGTAATGGTTGTAGATGACATGAGCATAATTGCATAAGCTTCATTAGAAAGTGGTCATAAAGTTTATGAGAGCAACACGGAAGAAATAAGTTGTTTTTGTGTGATATTCAAGTTTCTCGATATGCCTCTTCACGACTTTTAAAGAAAAACGCAAAGACAAAAACAGGGTCTGTACGTCCAGCCGGATCTCATTAATGCGTCTCTATAGCATGCATTGTATTTATCCTGCAATTTATATACGAAAGTCTGTTTTTAAGTGCATGTGATTTTTTGGTAATACGCACTTTATTGTAATACGCACGACACACACCCCACATCACTAATCCTACCCAATGGGGGGTACAGTGCGTATCATACAGTATTTCACTGGTTTTGTCCGTCCTTCTGTTATACTCTCTCTTACAAATGAATTATGTTGAATATCTGATCAATTTAACTACACAATTAGATAATACCAGATTAGCGCAACCAGTGACCAAGCAATGCTTCATGTTGTTCAGTCTGTGTGTAAAAAGAGCATTAGCAATTACAGACAAAACACTTCAAAACTCAAAGTGTCGGAATCATTTTTGGTCCCAAATATTTATAAATGTTACTGGTAGTCACTGTATGAAGAATATTTGGGTATAATATGTCACAGTTTACTTTATTTTGCTCTCCTCACTTACATAAATGCACTATTATAGTGTCCTGATCACACTAGTGAAAAAACATAATAAACTATATCTGGTGTCTGAATAAATTTTTTTTTTTTTTTGACTGTATCAACTGATTTGATAACTCTGAGTTCTTGTCATCTAAACTATAACGAATCAACTGATAATGTGAGAAATGTTGAAGGTGTCTGAATACATTTTGGTTTGACTGTATGCACGTAAAAACAAATTTCCGTGTATAAACTGCATGATAAATCCAATACGTGCTATAGAGACGCATTAATGCGAGCGGGTTGGTACGGCTCTGGGACTGTGCTCAGTTGCTCATGATCACTCACCTTTGACCAGTGTGTGTTTGTCCGTCGGTGAGGATCTGGCAAGCACTCGCAGTTTCGGCCAGACTTTATCAATGCGCTCCTGCTCAACCTGTGAGAGATAAAACACAGATCTGAGACAGGCATCCATCACGAGACACCCGTCTAATGGGATACGTACAATAACCAGTAGTATATAACTTTTAAACATTAAGGTTAAACATTCATCAGAGAAGTCACTGCATGTACATACAGTAAATGATTTCACACAGCGTCTATCATTCACGTGTGGCTTGTTTGTTGGAATGGCCACCTATCAAATGTGTTCAACATCAATAACAGCAGTGCATTACTTGCAAATGCGACTAATGTAATCACAACATCATAAAAAAAGCCCCATAAATTATCCGAGTTCTGGAACGCAACAGCATCAGGGCCACAGATGGGTAAATGCTCTCTCGACAGCATTTGTGCAGTGATGTTGATTAGCATAGTCATTTCAACTCGTTCTTTGGTGTTTTTCAATGCGAAAAGCATATCTATAGTAATGCACTTACCATGAGGCCAGAGTTGCTAAGGCTTTAAAAGCAGAAATGTGAAGCTTACTGGCGTACCGTGATTCCTGTAAGGTGCATGTAAGCACTGATTCACAAATGCATGAAAGACATGTTACTTCCCATAAAAAGTAACTAAGTAATGCAATTAGTTACCTTTTGGGGGAGTGATGCAATATTGTAATGCATTACTTTTGAAAGTAACTTTTCAGGCCATATCTCTCACAATTAGTGGAATTTCCTAAATACCTTCATTTTGTCATCTTTTCAAAATCCTTAAAGTTTATTTTGAGGTTGAAATTAGACTTTGATTTCAAGTGTGACTATACTGTACTGTATCTCTTACTGTTGCTATTTATGTAATTAAAATTATTGCACGATTAATTGTTAAAAGAGCGCAATCTCGATCACAATCTTATTCCTAGATGACAGTGATTCGGCTCTATGTCTATTCAAATTTTGACATGTACAACCACAGTGAACATTCAGATCTGAGTTCTGATCCCGAGAGAGCCGAGATATGAAACAGCTTCACAAACAGTTCTTTTCAACACACAGTATCATTAATTCTGTCTTACAATCATTCAGATTATCACAGAGGAACTGAGATAAAAGTTTATAGTTCAGATATAAACACTGATGTCTATGGTAGAGATCAAAATAGATTAAATCGACATTTGAAATAAAGACTGTATTAATTACATCGTTTCACCAGTAGACAAGTGACCGTAAAAACTGTATTTGTCATTGAATCATTCACTCAAGAGATTCATTCAAAAACGCTGATTCATCCAGTAATGAAGTGAAGTGAAGTCGTTATGAGTGAGTCATTGAATCATTCACTCAAGAGATTCATTCAAAAACGCTGATTCATCCAGTAATGAAGTGAAGTCGTTATGAGTGAGTCATTGAATCATTCACTCAAGAGATTCATTCAAAAACGCTGATTCATCCAGTAATGAAGTGAAGTCGTTATGAGTGAGTCATTGAATCATTCATTTAAACCAATTTTTTTTTAAATAATCAATTTAGATTCATTAAAGTGGAAATGTAAATTTCATCGGCAACAAATACGTGTGGTGCGACTTCATCCACTCACTCGGGTTTTCCTTCGTAATGTAGTTGTGTATGCAGGTGTGAGTGGCTTTATCTAAATTATATGCAAACAACGCACATTTCTCTTCTAGAAAAACAGGAAAAATATGAATGACTATATGAGATCTTTGTCTCAGAATGTGAATATCTCTGCCATTGCCTCTCTAATAGTGTTGCACCATTATAAGTAGTTTACTTTAAGTCTGTTTGTTTTTTTAAAAGGGGACCAGTCAGTCTTATCTTCTGTGGTATATTCTTCCACAAACGCTGTCCATAGAGCTTGATTGGTTATGTTTGATATGAGTACCTCTCCCTTCTCGTTCCTGATCCTCCTGTTGAACTCTTTCCCGTCGATACACAGAAAGTCTTCTCCGGGCTGGATGATGCCACATTTGATGGCGATCGCTCGTGCCGTGTTGATGTTGTCTCCTGTCACCATACGCACAGTGATTCCAGCACGCTGGCATTTCAGGATGGCGTCGGGCACCTGCGGGCACACGTGTGATCAGCAGTGGGCATTAACTCGCTCCAGAGGAAAGGGTAAACCGCACGCCCAGTGCAGCGGTGAACGAGAACACCACCGCAACACACACAGGGTTCAGTCAGCTGTCCTGATACTGGCCCCACTGAAACCAGTGAGCGCTCATTAGGAGGAATTCAAAGATCTCTCATGCACTAATTATGCAGTGCTGGATTTCTCATGCAACAAAACACAAAATTATTCATCTGAAGGATAAAAGGGATAGTTCACCCAAAAACTCTGTCAGTAATTACTCTCCCTCATGTTGTTCCAACCCCGTAAGACTTTCATTCATCTTCAGAACACAAATTAAGATATTTTTGATCAAATCTGAGAGCTGTCTCACTCCTCCATAGGCTTCTGTGCAATTGAAAGTTAGTAAAAAAATCGTTTAAATAGTCCAAGTGACTACAGTGGCTCAATCTTAAGTTTATCAAGCGACGAGAATACTTTCTGTGCGAAAAAAATAAAAATAATTTCAACTATTCGTTTCCTTCTCTGTGGGCCTCGAGTGAGTTCACGTAGTGTAACAGCGCAGTTTTTCTGGGTTGTACGTCAGAACGTAGGCTCACTATTGGCCGATGCTGGGCATGTGTGTGATGCGTGTGACGTACAACACAGAAGCGCTGCGCTGTTACACTACGTAACCTCACTCGAGGCCCACAGAGAAGGAAATCAATAAACTTAAGGTTGAGCCACTGTAGTCACTTGGACTATTTTAACGATGTTTTTACTAACTTTCTGGGCCGGCAAGTTTCGATTAAAATAGAAGCCTACGGAGGAGTAAGACAGCTCTCAGATTTAATCAAAAATAACTTAATTTGTGTACTGAAGATGAACGAAAGTCTTAAGGGGTTGGAACAACATGGAACAACACCAGCTCAGACCAGTTTAGACCAGTTCAGACCAGCTCAGACCAGTTCAGACCAGCTCAGACCAACACAGACCAGCTCAGACCAGTTCAGACCAGCACACTCTATAGGCCGGTTTAGGAAGCTTTTTTCCAGTATGATTTTGCGGTCATATGGAATCATATTTATGTTGAATCAAGCGATGCGAGTTATTTAGACAGTGGGATTCTAAAATATTTGGAAGTCAAATTTGCAATTTGCATTTATTGCACACACACAGTATATATCAGGGTTATTATCGTTAACTAAAACTTTTTTATTTATTTATTCTGTTAATTGCAATTAGGCTGAAATAAAATGAAATGTAAATATTAGTTGAAAAACTTAAACTAAACGCAAATTAAAAATGTTGCCTTGGCAACAAACTGAAATAAGATTAAGTTGAAGCACTGAAATGATAAGATGTAAATAAATAAAAACTAAACCTGAAGATAGATAGATAGATAGATAGATAGATAGATAGATAGATAGATAGATAGATAGATAGATAGATAGATAGATAGATAGATAGATAGATAGATAGATAGATAGATAGATAGATAGATAGATAGATAGATAGATAGATAGATAGATGTTGGTCTAGACACTAAAGCGATAGATGATATCTGATTGACTAGACCTTGAAGTATGACAGATGTTGGTCTAGACACTAAAGCGATAGATGATATCTGATTGACTAGACCTTGAAGTATTTCTGAGAACCGTGAAGATGAGCCGGTCCTGCTAAACTCATCAGGAGAAGAGGAAGAGCCTCATCAATTAAACACCACGGCAGAGGAAGGTGAGGTGGTAACCTTAGACATTTAACACTCATGGGTTTGTTTACAGATCCTTAGGTTTCGGCTGTTTATTTGGGAAAGGAGTGGCTCACGTGTCCCGTCAGGTAACAGAACGCCAAATCTGTGTCACCATCGTCAATGAGCTTTTGCACAAACCCGTTCAATCCAGGACAACAGAGGATTCACTTTGCAGTGAGACCTTCATCAATGTTCCTTCATTCACGCTGATATTCTGTGTTTCTGCTTTCTGTAAGAAGCCTTCAACAAACTGACAATTACTCTAGAGACGGAGAACGAGAGCAAAGGAACAGCGGGATAAAAAGAAGAGGTTAAATAATGCATCAGTATAGACGCTTCTTCAGTCCCTGTGTGTGAAAATGAACGATCATTTGAGGACCGGGCCACTCTTACACAATATCACATCTGATGCAACATCTCTACCGATTCCCAATATTTTCCTGCAATCTCAAACCACATGCACTAGACATTGCATTTAAACAGTAAACTTGCTGAAAAACCTTCTGTTGTCTAATTGTCAGTTCCTGTACACTCTAAAAACCAATGCTGGGTTGTTTCAAACTTTCAACCCACGTTTGGGTCAAATATTGAGCAACCCAACCGGTGGGTTGTTTTTGTCCATATTTGACTCAACCATTGGTTGAAACAACCCAGCAATTTTTAGTGTAAGACATTTTTAGTGAGTAAAAGACAGTATAATTGTACAACCGTCCATCTTCAGCTCGTGCTTCACGTGTCTATTTTCTGTGAAATCTTCACTGATTTTTATAAAGTAAATGTAAGAATAACTTCGATATTGTTAGTAATATTTCCAGATGAACACTTGCGACTGAAGCGACTTTGGTTTACGTAATTATCCAGAAATCCTTTTTTTGAAAAATCATGAGCATCAGATATGATCCATCAGGCTTTTGAGGAAGGTTTATTTGTTGATCTCTAAAATCATCATTGTATTACATTGCATTATTATATGTTTAAAACTATAGAGCTTTGATCATAAAACTAAGCATTTAAATATCATCTTACTAAAACTTATTATTGGAAAATATTGGGTGACGGTCGATATTTATATGAATTTTGTGCAACTAGTCTGATCTCATTGATTCACATTACAAACTATCTTAATATTTTGCCATATTAATATCAGAATCTCCTCTGAATAATTTTTGAGCTGTTGTTCCTCCATATTCTCACTATATCATACTATATGAGGTATAAAAACCTGATGTATCAAATATGATAGAATATGGGTTTTTTCTTGTATATTTTCACTAAAGCTTCAATAAAAGTCAATTTAAAAAGACTACTATTTCATATCACAGGTTTCCAGGGTTAACATAGAGTGTATTAAGACTAGACATCAACTAGAACATTTAGAAAATATATCGCTTTTCACATTTTCAGCAAAATCAGTAAATGGTGAGGCGGAGGTCACATTACAGGTGTGTTCTCATGCATAAAAAGCAAAATATTTCAAATAAAAACCATGACATGATCAAATATGAAGAAAGTTCTTACCTCAGGTCTGACAGGATCCTCAATGCCAACAACACATATAGCGGTCAGGTCGGTCAGGATGTTGTTCTCATCCTCCCAGTTGGGCTCGGGGTCTCCAGAGAAGTCTCGATAGGCCACACAGATGGTTCTGAGTCCATCACACGCCATGGGTTCGATGATTTTCTTCACCATCTCGTCCCTGTCCCTCGGCCTGAACACGCGAGTTTCTCCAACCTCGTTCAGAATGAGAGCGCACCTGACCCAAACACAGAGTCACACGTGAACCAAGTGACGTATCATTGTGTCCATAACCGTTGGGTTAGTTTTATCAATATTTGACTCAACCATGGGTTGAAAGAAACAACCCAGCAATTTTTAAGTGTAATATTAGTATAATTGTACAACCGTTCATCTTCAGCTCGTGCTTCACGAGTCTATTTTCTGTGAAATCTTTACTGATTTTTATAAAGTAAATGTAAGAATAACTTCAATATTGTTAGTAATATTTCCAGATGAACACTTTGATGAAAACCGACTTTGGTTTACTTCATTATCCAGATATTTTTTTTTTTTTAAATCATGAGCATCAAATATGATCCATCAGGCTTTTGAGGAAGGTTTATTTGTTGAAGAATCCGCACCAAATTGCACATCTCAATGATTCCAGGCACAGTAATTCAACATAATGACCTTCCTTTGCTATCGAGACATTGAAATGCTTTTATGAAGATTGCAGATGGACATCAGAGAGCTGATGAAAGGCGCTCACTTTTTAAGGATGATTTCAGACGCTCCTTTGCTGTACATCCTGAAGTTTCCGTCGGGAAGCTTGATGACGGTGCTCATGGACTTCCTCGATGAGTTGAACGTGTAAACCTTGTAGAGTTTCTCCTCGGGGATCTGGTTGCGGACGGTCTGGTAGTCTCGCTTCAGGTCCAGAACCAGTCCCAGAAGACCACACTCGGTTTTGTTGCCCACTTGTTTGGGAAGACCTCCCTCTTTATCTGCAGGCTGGAGCATTAGAAAACCAGAGAGGAATCAGATACCAGTTACACAAGCTATATACTGCAGTCAAGTCACGCCACGCCACGCCACGTCAAGTCAAGTCAAGTCAAGTCAAGTCAAGTCAAGTCAAGTCAAGTCAAGTCACGTCACGTCACGTCAAGTCACGCCACGCCACGTCAAGTCACGCCACGCCACGTCAAGTCAAGTCAAGTCAAGTCAAGTCACGTCAAGTCAAGTCACGTCACGTCAAGTCACGTCACGTCAAGTCAAGTCAAGTCACGTCAAGTCAAGTCACGTCACGTCAAGTCAAGTCAAGTCACGTCAAGTCACGTCAAGTCAAGTCACGTCAAGTCAAGTCAAGTCAAGTCACGTCAAGTCAAGTCAAGTCACCACGTCACGTCAAGTCAAGTCAAGTCAAGTCACCTCAAGTCAAGTCAAGTCAAGTCAAGTCACGCCACGCCACGTCAAGTCAAGTCAAGTCACGTCAAGTCAAGTCAAGTCAAGTCAAGTCAAGTCAAGTCAAGTCACGCCACGTCAAGTCAAGTCAAGTCAAGTCACGTCAAGTCAAGTCAAGTCAAGTCAAGTCACGTCACGTCACGTCACGTCACGTCAAGTCAAGTCACGTCACCACATCAAGTCAAGTCAAGTCACGTCACCTTTATTTATATAGCGCTTTTTACAACACAGAGTGTTTCAAAGCAGCTTTACAGTGATAACAGGAAAATAATGCAGCAAAGTTTGTTTCCAGAAGAAAATAGCGTCATAGTCCAGCTTAAGTAAGTTCAGTGATGTTTCATTTCTGTTGTAAAAAGTTATTAATTTAGTTCAGTTATATATACAGCCACTCTGGAGAAAACCGTGATGTCATCGTCCAGCTCAGTTCAGTTCTCATATAATGGTGTCAATGCAGGCAGATCAATAATATTGCTGAATATTAAGAGTATATTAAATTCTGTTCTATTAATGTTGAGGATCATTAAGGGTCGCATAACAGTTTCTTTGCAATTCATCACAGCCGTATCAACAGCTTGGATGCCTCACAGAAGGAGAACAGGTGATTGTTTACTTTTTTTATTCATATTTCACAGCATTTTGTACAGCAGCTCTGTATTAATTTTCCTCAGTCATTCTGGGTTGGATTTGTTATAAATCTCAAAATATTAAACTTCATCAGGAACTGCTCTACATACAGACTCCAATCAAACTTTGATTTGTAGAATTCATTCTAGAGTGTGTATGAACTTTGTTGCATGAACTTGGTAAACTTTAATACTAATCCGTAACATTTATAACGCTCTTTTCTCGGCACTCAAAACGCTTTACAAATAGAAGTGGGGGAATCTCCACAACCACGTTACACAATCTCTCGTTGACACTGGGATTTAAAGATTCAGAATGTAACCAATGTTTTCCTTTCTATGGAAATTGTAATATATATGCAGTATGTATCATCTTTTCTTCAATTTTTTTAAATTATTATTTCTTTCCTATATTTATAACCTCTTTTACACTGCAAAGATGCATTTTGTCCAAAGTTACTTATAGTACACTTATTACAAGAACATTCTCCCCGAAGTGCTGGAAGTTAAGGCTCGATTGCGTTAACAGATTCAATCGCTGGAGATCGGCAAGTCACTTTGTGTTCTTTAAACATCTTAAATGTGAGCCTAATTGTCTTTTCAGAGGAAAAGTACCTTCTTTAAACCGATTACAGGTGATATAATGATTGTCTCTTTCATTTGAATGCCTGAAAAAGCTTTTAAAAAAAAGTTTTTAAAAAAGTTATAATTTCATATCACAAAACCTATACAAACCTCATTATCTGCAGTTTAATAAAACATGTCTGAATTTTTCTGCATACAATATCTTGCTAGAATTACTTCAGGGAATTTAATTGTATTATCTGTTTATTTATTTATGAGAAGAAATGCTGAAATGCCAATAGAGACCTTGATTGTGAATTAACTTTACTGATTAACTTTTCCAGTGTTCCTCATATCTAGGGTCGTGGATCACTGAATGCTCTTAAAAAGGTTTCAATATAGAAATCTATAGGGTTCTTGACTCAGTTTTAAATAACCCTTTATGCCAAAAGCGTTCTATATAAGGAGAAATGTCTTAAGTGATTGCATAATACTTTCATGTTAAACCGGTTATTTAGATGTTTTCTAGTGATAAAGTATGTTTACCAGCTGTTTAATTCATAAAATTGAATAAAAAAATGAAAAATGTATTCTTTATAGGGATGTAACGATACCCTCATGTCACGATTCGATACATATCACGATACTGAACACACAAGACACATGATAAAAGGTTTACAAAAAATGTACATGCTTTAACTCTGTCACTGACTAGATATATTTAAAATAATGTCGTACACTTTTTACTGGTAACATCAGACATTTGGCATTACCACAAATATTTCCCCACTGCATTATTATACATTATATTCAACATTATATGTAGTTTAATGTAGTTCTGACACTAAATCTCTGTAAACTTTTTTTTTTTTTCTCACACACTCTCAGCTTTATTTATTATTATTATTATGAATTCTTTATTCCAGACCGTTAGGTCCATATCAAAAAGTAAAGAAACAGAAAGAAAAGAATACCATACAAACATAGATTTGTATACAACAAACAATATTTAAGAACATACAAACTTGAGTTCCAGTGCTTCCAGAACCAGGAGGAATACCTTTTATCACTTAATGTAGAATCATTTAAGACAATTATGATTGTATTTTTCGAATCACCCAATCGACACATGAAATTTACATATAATTCCTTAACACACCATGCAACGCAGGAACATCACTAGAGACATTTGGCTTGCACTTGTCCACCTTGGGCGTTTAAGCAAAATTTTAAATGCATTATTAAATGCCACCTGAAGCTTTTACATTTTAGCTTTACTATATCTACACTATAGATGTGCCGTGTAAAATGACGTACAGTAAGCTCTAAAAGTGCTATTTTAACATCACCTGTGATATTTGTAGGGCAACCTTATGATTTAAAACGATTCGTTTCAGTCTTTTTGAATGGAAGTTCCCCAAACCGGAAGTGCCACCCATAATTCAAAACGCAGTAAGATCTTCAGGAATATGGTGGATAATATCTCATATTTGCTCACCTGGGTCATTCAAAACTGCTCATGCGTTTGATGCGGATTTCATAGCACCCTTTATTCCTCATAGCTGGCATTGAACGCTCTCCTGAACAGCTGTCCTCTCCCTGGTCAACACACACTCCTATGAACCACGACATATGGCAAAACATGCACTGGCAGCAAATACTTCCTCTTTACGGCCCCATCCGGCTCCTGATCTCCACACGGGCCCTCGCTCTGCTCTCCTTCTCACCGCAGGGCCCTCGGTGTCTCCTAGAAGGTCATTTTCATAGCACCTCTTTGATATCCCAGCGTTCCCTACCCTGGCAGGTCGTGAGGGGAGCGCTTTGCCAAAACTGACTGGCTTAAAGGGATAGTTCACCCAAAAATGAAAATTATCCAATGATTGATTCGCCCTCAAGTCATCCTAGGTGGATATAACATTCTTCTTTCAGACGAATACAATTGGAGTTATATTAAAAATGTCCTGGCTCTTCCAAGCTTTGTAATGAAAGTGAATCGCTTCAAAGTGGAAGTCCATCAAAGTGCATCTATCCATGATAAAAATGCATCTATCCATCATAAAAGTGCATCTATCCATCATAAAAGTGCATCTATCCATCATAAAAGTGCATCTATCCATGATAAAAATGCATCTATCCATCATAAAAGTGCATCTATCCATCATAAAAGTGCATCTATCCATCATAAAAGTGCATCTATCATCATAAAAGCGCATCTGTCCATCATAAAAGCGCATCTGTCCATCATAAAAGTGCATCTGTCCATCATAAAAGTGCATCTGTCCATCTATCCATCATAAAAGTGCATCTATCCATCATAAAAGTGCATCTATCCATCATAAAAGCGCATCTATCCATCATAAAAGCGCATCTGTCCATCATAAAAGTGCAACTATCCATCATAAAAGTGCATCTATCCATCATAAAAGTGCATCTATCATCATAAAAGTGCATCTATCATCATACAAGTGCATCTATCCATCATAAAAGTACATCTATCCATCATAAAGTGCTCCACACAGCTCTGTGGGGTTAATAAAGGTCGAATTTTTAGGTGAACTATTCCTTTAAATGAATGAGTGGCAGGCCGAGTCGTCGCGGAGAGGCTTTGGCAGAGTCTCTGAACCACATGGAGCGGCTGCAGCCGGACAAACCACTTTGCCCAAAATGAGTCACAACTTATCAAACACGAGACAGCAAGATATTTCACCTTGTCATGGGCAAGAAGAAAAAATGCTCCCAAAACAGCATTTGACTAGTAGCAGGCCTTTTGTCTAAGCATAACCCTTAGAAAAAAAACATGGTTCATGATAATATATACAGGTAAAATACACTCACCTAAAGGATTATTAGGAACACCTGTTCAATTTCTCATTAATGCAATTATCTAATCAACCAATCACATGGCAGTTGTTTCAATGCATTTAGGGGTGTGGTCCTGGTCAAGACAATCTCCTGAACTCCAAACTGAATATCAGAATGGGAAAGAAAGGTGATTTAAGCAATTTTGAGCGTGGCATGGTTGTTGGTGCCAGACGGGCCGGTCTGAGTATTTCACAATCTGCTCAGTTACTGGGATTTTCACGCACAACCATTTCTAGGGTTTACAAAGAATGGTGTGAAAAGGGAAAAACATCCAGTATGCGGCAGTCCTGTGGGCGAAAATGCCTTGTTGATGCTAGAGGTCAGAGGAGAATGGGCCGACTGATTCAAGCTGATAGAAGAGCAACTTTGACTGAAATAACCACTCGTTACAACCGAGGTATGCAACAAAGCATTTGTGAAGCCACAACCTGGTGGTGGTGGTGTAATGGTGTGGGGGATGTTTTCTTGGCACACTTTAGGCCCCTTAGTGCCAATTGGGCA